TTTAAACGGGATCACAGTAGAGATTAGGCTTGAAAAGGGAATTGATCCTTCAACACAATGAGAATGGGAGTTTCCAACGGGCTGCCTTTTGTGTGAGGTTCCGCAGGCAGAATCCCCAGTTCATTTCTGAGACTTCTTAGGGTCTGACAAGTTTCAAAAGATACAAGGCTGTGAAAAAATGTGTGAGTGAGTTTGCGCAAGTTTAACCAACCTTTACTAAAGGTTCAGTGCATAGACTCCGACCTGTTTCCCTTCAAGTGTTGAATGTGTTTGAACTTTATGTGAAACATTAGCTAACACATGCCTGGATTTTTGTCCTTCAAGAGGCCTCTAAATATTTTCTAGGATGTGGGTATTTTATTCAAGCTTATCTTGACTTGATTTTTGACAACTTCTGACTGTGATATCACTGTCTTAAAGCAAGTAGCAAAGCGTGATTCAGTCCGTTGTCTGATGAAGGGGAAGAGGGCATCTGTATCCCGTGGAGCTAGCCGCCCTCCTGAAAGAGGAATTGAACACTTTTTTTTTCCTAAAATGAACTGCTAGCAAGTAGAAATGTTATACTATTTATCATAAGAAGATAGGTTCTGTTTCTGTTTCAAGTCTTGAATAGGTGTCCTTGACGTAAAAAGAATGGGTAAGAAGCAAGTGCTTTCTGCCCACTCCCCTTTAAGACCCTCTTTTAAAACTCAGTAAAGAAGATGAAGATAACCTGTAGGAAGCTAAATTTGCTCACCTCAAGTGAAAAAGAAAATGGCAGTGTCTGCATGCTAAATGGATTGAAATAACAGCTAGTACTAAAGTTAAAAAAATATCTTTCACTTTGCATACTGATTTGGAAAAGAAAGGAACTTCATAGTAGTATGCCTTATCCCTTCTACAATACCAACTACTTGTTTCTCTATTCTGGTTATTACCTATTACAAAATCACCAGCTCTAAGATGCTGCTGGACATTGTCCACCTTTGCTCCGTCCCTGTGTGTGTGAATGTTTTGGCACAGTCTTCTATAAACAGGATGTGGAGCTGCCGGAGTGCTGTTTGACTGCACTCGTCAGTGCTGTGGAAAGAGCATGGACAAATCCTAGCTGCTTGCAGTGTGTGTGTGTATGCACATGTGTGCTGCCTTCTTCCACTTTTCCTGAGATGCTATTAAATTTATCTCTGGGAAGTTGATCCCAAAGACCAAATACTGTAGATTAAATACAGCAGGTAGTTCTGTCTTTTGTGTCGTGTTGTCACTGCATTACTTTTACTATGATGTTAATCTTTAAGGCTCTTCCAAAAACTTCATTCTTAGCTGACCAGTTAAACTGATAGCTTGGTAGCTTTGTATGAACAATGCATTTAATGCTGCCTCACTCTGCACGTTATTTTTCTGGGCTTGAAAAACTGAGCACTGTTCTGATGCAGAATTGGTGCGGAGTCCCTGGTATATAAAGCCTCCTGAAATGGAGACGCTTTGGAGAGAATCTCTAAATAGGATGCTTGAATGGTCTTTTCCCAGGTAAATAAATACCCCTTTTCACTTAATTTCAAGAAACATGGCATACAGCTGCTCTTTACTCCTAGTTGTAAAATAACAAGCCATTTACTGACTGAAGCAAGCTATTGGCATTATTGCTAGCAGATGCTGAACTCTTAGTGTTAACTTAAACAGCTCATAAATGTTAATCATGTTGCAATTTTCTTAGAGCTTGTCTGCATATCCCAGAGGCACTAGATAATGTCACAGTCTTTTCACATGAACCGATAACATTTCCTAGCAGAGATTCCACACAAACTTCATAATTCACTAGTTTTATTGTGATGACTGAAGTTCTTCAAAGCTGCGCTTCTAACTACACCTGTACTAGTATGGATTTATTTAGATATGTTTTAGTAGACTCAAAGTAGCCAGACGTGCAGTGAAATGAGTACAGGCTTGGTCAGACTGTGCTTTTTGCTTTCTGACCCGTTGTTTGAAGTTGTATGACAAAGTCAAATCCTACTCAAAACTTTTTGAGCAAAATCTGTGCAGTTTATTGCGTGCTTTGGTTTTAATGTCACTTCTGTGTTGTAATGGTTTTGCTGCTATACAGATGTGAGAAGTTTGTTATAATAAATGTAACTTGCATACAGGCAATGCAAAAGGTATAAAGGTTGCTGTAGAAGTGTGTGTTAAGTTATATGCGTAACAAGCAATTAAACAGTGTGCTGTGGCCTTTTAACAATCCCTCTGACCCTTCAACCGATGCAAATGGGTTTTATAAACAAGACAGCTCCTGGGCAAGCTAATCCTTTCCTCCTTTCAGGCTGGATTCTGTTCTGTCTAAACACTGGTAAGGCCCCATAATGTGCTTTTGAGGTGGTCAGAGTGATTGTTATATACTACCAAAGAAATCATGGATAATTAAATAAAACCTGCTATGTTATTGTAGGAGTTCAACATTTTGATTTCAATCACTGTGAAGGTCAGAAAGAGGACAGTGTTGTTGCTAGTGCATGCCACATGAGGAAAATAATGCTTACTGCATCTAAAATCTGTTCTTCCATCCTTACTTTGTGAGCATTTAATGGGACTTAAAGCTGTTTTTTTAGGATAGTGCTATGTGTTCACCAGAATCGTATGTTGTACCTCGAGGCAGCATGTGCTATGAGAACAGTGTAAAGTGCAGTTAATCTAGGCTGCTGGTATCAGCTGGTGAACACACCTGGTTGCAATACAACTGTTCTGTGTGAGGCTATATGCTCTTTCTGCTCTGCTGTGCATTTGGTGCTCTGGTTGTGTGGGTGTGTAACTGCTTCTCCTTGGGGCTCTCTCCTGGCCACCTGCAGAAGAATTTTTGTGGGGAACAGGGACAAGCTTTGCACGCTCATGCAGAGCTGATCCTGTCCTGTAAAGTGAGAGGTCCCAACTTTAACTGGAACTTCATGGGCTTTACAAGATAGACTTTATGCAAGGAAGTGTGGTTTAGAGACAGAAGATCATAAACAGAACTGTTTTTTGTGGTTGTGAGTACTGAACCAAAGATACGTAAGGCTAGGGCTCCAGTGTACGGAAATCTGTGAGCCAAGGGATTGGTCTCAAAACACACATTCCCAAGGATAGGAGTAAATGTCACTCTCCGAGTAGGTGGATGTGAGAATTTCTCTGGACTTGCTCCTAAAAGCCTGGAGAGAAATTGGATAGTGTATGATCTAATATTTTTGGAAAGTAATGAAATGGAAAACTTGCTGGGAAAGTAGAGGAGATTTCAAATTGTGTGTGGTTAAATCCTAAATACATCTGCAGAATAGTGTGCAAGAAGGGGGAGCTAGAGAGTAGTGCTTGACTTTCAGAAACTTCCTACTTGGTCTGCTCAGCATGACACTTGGTGGTAACTTCTTGGTAAAATTGTGACTGAGCGAAGCAGTAGTGCAGGAAGCTCAGGAATACGCAGAGGAAATGTCTGTTTGGGGAAAGGTGTAACTGAAAAACAGTTCTGGTTCTGGATTTTTAAAGTGTATTTTTGAGCTTCCTTATTTGTAAAAAAGTTGGCGTATGTTGAAGATCATGACCAGAATCAGTAGCTGGATGGTCATACTTATTTCTCAATGCTTGGGGTAAGGAGGGCTGTATCTGTAGGTGTAACTGGCATATCAGACATGCTTTTCGGGGGGGGGGTCTAGTTGTGTGGTTTTATCTCCAAAAGAAGTACAGAACTAAAGTGAAGTAATAAAATTAGGTGCCTTATACACGTGTGTTTCCTGCAGCAGGTAAAGATGACTTGCTGAGACTAGGTACCACTTAAAGTATCCACACTTTTAGTTCAGGAAAGAGGGGGAAAAACACAGAACTGATTGAATATCTCGGTGAGGACTATGTCCATTTTGAGTGTGACAACAACTTTTTCGTTCTTCATTCTTAAACTAACAGAATGGAAGCATACTCAAATGATTGAGCTCAAGAAATGAGTTAAAGTAGTGAATTTTGAAGGAAAACATGCATTTTGGTTCTTTTTCAAAATTCTGATCCAGAAATATTGTACTGTCTGCTTCCCTGGTTAAAACTAGGGTGGTATTTTTGAGCATGTGTATATATTTGGACTTCAGTGTGAATGAGGTGCTGGTGAAAAGCATAAATGACTTTACAGAAGTTGTTTGTGTGCAGAAAGTTGTATACCTTATAAACCTTGGCAAACACTATTTAAAAATTAATCTTAAGGTTTGGTCTCTGTACTAAAGAAATGGGATGAACAATGAAATGAACCACTCTGTGTAAAAAGCTTTCATTGTTTCTGTTCGATAATTCTGTAACCCCACTGAAAAGTCTGAATGGATGACCTAAATGTTGTTCCAAATCCCTGAGTGGAGGAATAAATTGGTCTTGAACGTGAAGTCCTGAGTTGAATTTGTAGAAGACTTGAAGCAAGCAGTCACTAAAAGGAACTGGCAGAACTTAAGCATACATCATACAATCTAAGTATTTCCTTGTGACCATACAGCTTGAAATACAGGCTAGTAAGTTGTCAAAGAAGTGCTTGCCTATCCAGGTCGGGAGGCACATCACCAATAGCATCTTTCATGTTACTTGTGTGGCTCGTGAGTGGGCAGACAGACTCAAGTTATCTACAAAAGCAGGTATCTATAAAACAAAAGCAGGTAGCTTTTGTTTTTGTAGATAACTTGTGTGGGGAGGAGGCAAATGGTGGAGAATGGAAATATTAAGAGGTGCAAAACGAAGGTTGTCAAAAATACTAATTGCTTCTTGTTTTTTTTTTTTCTTGCAGATTTTCAAGTGCTGACCTTCTTTATCTATTAAGTTATTATAAACTTTTGCTGCTCTGCGAACATATAAAGATGTCTCGCAGCCCTGATGCTAAGGAAGACCCTGTGGAATGCCCCCTTTGCATGGAGCCTCTGGAGATTGATGACATCAACTTCTTCCCTTGCACCTGTGGCTACCAAATCTGCCGTTTCTGTTGGCATCGTATCCGCACTGATGAGAATGGACTTTGTCCTGCTTGCAGAAAGGTAAATATCCTGGAACAGCGGCTTGCCTTGCACGTGTCACAAGGCTCTTGCGTTGTGTTGGTACCAAAGACATCCTTTTCCTTCGGGGAAACATTCTTCTAGTAATGGCATAGCTCAAGGGTGAGGTGTTGGATCTTTCAGATTCTGTCTGCATACATATCAAAGCCATTGTGCAACTGCTAGTCTTGGTTTATTAAATTGAGAACTGGATTAATAGGGGAAGCTGTGGATCAGAACCAAGGCATGCTGATGCTGGGAGAACTGCCAAAAGTAAAAAGTCCAGTGATTTGGGGTGCTCATGCATTGCCAGAGTCTTTTCAGGAAGGACAGTGAGGATTACAGCATCAGGGGTTTGCTGAGAGCCCAAGGTTCAGCTAAAGTAGCCGAGCTGTCTGAGGCAAGCTTATAAATCACCTGCTTGTTTTGTGGCACTGGAGCTCTTAATCCATTTTTCTGGACACTAAACATGTAAAAGTCTTGGAAAATATATCCAATGGTGTTAAATTTTAAAGTTTTTCAAAATCTAGGCTAAGTCTACTTGTCTAGTATTCTGGTCTTGTTGCCAAATGCTTAAAGGTAGTATGTTGAGAGTCACACTTAATTTCTCCCTATCTCTTGATTGATATCTGGCTGGTACTGTGGTTGACTACAAATATAAACTTCAACTTCACTAAGTTGCCCACTTTTCCGTCGAATTATTTTCCTTCTCCTTAGTGTTTTACTTAACCTTATTACTTCCTTATCATCAATGTTTAATATAAAATTATTTCTTGATATCTTCTCTTTAATTCTAACAATACTCCTTGATTGTAACTTTCTTGCCTGGCCTTCCTCTTTGTCTAATCACAGCTACTTATGTCAGCTCTTTCTCCTGTTACTTAATTGTGATCGTATCCTCAGTTTATGCCTTTGGCTTCCTGTCTCATGTTACAGCTCCCTTCTCAGACCCTGAGTAATCTTACTTGAGTTCACTATCTTCATTCACTGACACAGCTTTCTATAAGCACTTCCAGTCATTTTCTTGTTGTTCTTTTGGGCTTTGGCTACACTAGAGCTCTTGCTACTAACCTGTGTCTGGATGCCACTGCAAGCTTGAAGGCTATCCCACAGCAACATACATTTGTTAACAAATAGCACAAATTTGCTGCAGTATTTGAGCTGTATAATCTACAAGGAAGATCTACCTGTCATCGGCCAAATTGGTCTCCACAAACAATACCTGCTGTAGATGAGACATGCTGTTATAGTAGTTCTCATAGTACAAGCAAATTTCTACTCTGCTGGTACAAACATGAGATTTTTGGAATTTCCTTGTTTGTGTAAGTTCCTTCGTGTACCTGGATTTATTATGCTGCTCTTTGCCAACAACTGTTTCAGTCATCTCTGATCATTTACTATTGGAAGTTTGTGGAATATATTGGAAAAATCACAGAATCAGCATGGTATTCACTTCCTCTGGGTATCTGTGGATTCTCTGACATATGGATACAGCCACAGCTGAACTATGATGTGGAATAATTTGGCATGTGTTTGGATATGCAAATATTTTGCGGAGTTGGATACAATTTGCTCAGAAAAACTGTTCTGGGAGAAAAGCTGGAATGAGCACTACCTTCAGAAGGAAGCACATCACCAACTATTCCAGGAGAGCAAGGATTCTTCTTTCACAGTCAATGAGGATTATATTCTTGATACTTTCATTTGTGGATTGCAAGATGTTCTTAAGTAGAGCTGCTGCTATTTCACTGGATTGTAGAAGGTCTATGTAGAGGAGGCTGAGGAGTATGCTCCTTGTGGCACAAAGATATTGTGGTACCAAGACCCCACTGAGATCCTGGGAATAAACCATTTTGAGCTACCCCATTGATGGCAGCATCAAAGAAGTCTGAAGAAACCACTTTTTGAAGTGTGGAGTGTCTTCTGAACCAGGTATGTGACTTTGAGTGCAGTATGTTAGAATATTTCCTGTCTGTGTGTAGTAAGGTTTCTGGGGAAAAGATCTAAGTAGTATTCTAATTCATGTCAACTATGGTGTGCATCAGCTGTGATCACTTAATATGCTGAGGTGCAGAAAATAGCAAAGCAGTAAAATTCTGGCAAATACATTTATTGTAGGAAAGTTTATAGTAGGTACTGTGCTCTCAACAGGCACATCTTGTTTATAATGCATATGCTAATGCAGGATTCCTACTGCAAAATGGAATGTGAATATATGTATATGAAAGCAAGGTCTCATATTAAAGCATATGAGTATGTCATGCACAATTACTTAATAGAAAACTGCTCTTGGTGCCAAGGGTGGTGAGTGCAATTAAAGTTCTCAGATGGTTTGCTCCTGTATGAAGAAGAGCAGTGAAGTTTCTTATCTGGGGATTTTGGCTGAAAGATTTGGGGAAGACTTTTTGAAATGAGTCCATCATAAAATAATAGCTGTTCTCTCGAGTGCTGTCTGCTGTACATTTGATAGACCTTGATTGTGCCTTGTATATGTACTGTTATTTTCCTAAGCATCTCTAACTTGCTTCTAACTGAAAAGATGTTACCTTGCATTATTCTCTACCAAGGAGAAACTATTTCTACGTACTTGAAATGATATATAGCTTAACATATGCATGTGCAGACTATGCTCACATGGCAGCAGTCACTTGGGTTAGCATGCCCGAAATTTTCTCCTGTTAGTAATGGTAGTAGCCACACATTTGCTTCACATTGTGAGAGTGAAGGAGTAGAGTGACGCGAACTTGAATGTTGGATGGAAACTGGTATTTGTTAGTCTAAACATATTAAAAGCATTGCAAGCCTTATGTGGCTTTTGAAATGCTCACATATTGGTTTTGCTTATTTCATTAATGACAAAAAGTGGTTCCTTAAACAGAGCCGACCTGTTCAAGTTACCGATCCCCTTCAGAATTGTAGGTCTAGTCAATTGTAAGATGCTAAGCAAGCGTTCCTGTTCTTTCCAGTCAATTGGTTTCTTAACTGTGAGTGAAATAGTCACTAACTAGTCAAATTAAAATGAAAATATGCTGTTCTCAAAAGAGATTTCTGCAGCCAAAAGCAGGTTTACAGGTCAGCAGACTCACTGGTTTCACTTGTAAAGCCAGGGATTTTTTTGTGGTGATTTTGTCTTTAAAATATTCAGTGGCCTAGGTACTATTTTTGTATGAATAATGTCTATTATTTTAGTCATAGTGCTTTAATAGAGCATAGCACTCAGACCTTAATGTCAGTTGTTAACATTTTTAGATCTCCCAAATGGGATGGCTTCAAAAAAAAACCCAAACACTAACAAAAAAAAAAAAGAATAACTCCTTCACTTAAATCTCAGTTGCTCTGCCCTTCACCAAATAGTATAGTTTGATATTCTTGTAGCACGGCTTTGTCTTTTCTCCATTTCCTTGACTTAGTAAGCCTTTTTCCTACTACATTGTACTGAAGATAAAATAGTGAACTTATGACAAAAAACAAATGTTTTAAGCATGTTCATGCTTGTTTCTCCTACTCCTTTCTGTAGGAGCAGTCTTCAAATGTCAGTTGTTTCCTTCTGTGCTTTTAATCCCATAACTGAATAGTTTAGTGCAACAATTTGTATTTAGAAATTGCTAATTTTTATTGTAATAAATATCATGTATACTATGCATAAACCTTATTGACTTTCTCTGTATTTCTCATTTCAGAGCCTATTTGGTAGCAAGGAAACAACTGGGAAATGTTGGTACATCCATTGTGTGGAAGGAATGTGACCCCATCTGGGAATGACAAAAGCAAAGTGCTTGATTAAATCCCAGCTCAGCTCTCAACAATTGGGAAAATGTGGGGAAAAAGTCTGAAAGAAAACAAAACTTAAATTACAAGACAAGCTTAGTCAGGAAGACTAAGAATTCATCAAGGGCCATCTCTGATAAAAGACATGAGACTACAGAAGAGACATTTGAACTTTTTCTTGTAGGACTACCAGCAACTCACAGTTAGTGTAAACAAAGTCTGGTCACTTTCCGTGTTGGCAGATTGTGTTCAGGTGGCTTCCATGGGTTTTGCTGAAGAGGATTTGTATAACTGAAGTGGAGGGTGTCAGCTAAGTTTAGACAGCAGATCTGTGATGTCAACATCTCTTAATGTCTTGTATCTGAAGATACATAAATGCTGATAACATTTGATGTAGCTACTTGGATCTCAAATCCTCTACTAGCTAAGGAATTGGTCACAGTAAGCAACTATCATCTTTGCCTCTTGGCCACTGGGAACAGCTAGCCCCCTATTTTCCACCATACAAAACAGAATTAGATTCATGCTTGGTCAAGGTGTCTTTTTTTTTTAAAAAAAAAAAAGTTATGCCTAATGGCATGTACACTTCTGCGGCTGCAAGACCGGTGGTCTTCTCTTTGTTTTCTAGGGTTGGACGGAGTAAACAGCAGGCGAAATGATACTTCGAGATGCATTGATAGCCAATCCACCTTGCTTGGCTTTCACAGTCATTTTCCGCTATCCTTTGATACTTATATTCTGTCCATAGTTGAACTGTCACCTGAGTACATGAACTTGTGGGAAGCAGTCACTCTGAGGATTAAGTCATTTATTGGCCTATTCTATTTGTAAAATGGCTTTGTCCTTATTTGACACAGGATTTTTCCTGTCCTTATTTTGAATGAGAGTTTTAAGACTCAAATTTTCTTAGCACTGACAGCATTTGAGAAGATCATTCTATGCATATTTGCTTCCCTCCTTAAATGTACAGTATCCCTTAATCTCTCATCATGCTACACGTTAAGTATAGATAGGAGTATCTTCTATCACATCTTAGAACTGGGTTTCTGATTCAGTTTTGGGACTCAGAGGTGCATAGATTCATTTACAGGTCCTGAAAGTCATGATGCCCAACTATCCATATTCCATAGAACCATTAAATATGGCATAGGAGTGATAAGCATACATATGTAACATTTTGTGTATAATACAGCACTACAGTACCTAGTGAGAACTCCTGATTGCGTTGCTCAAGCGATTAGTGTTATCCATGGTAGCAAAGAAATGATGAAAATCCTCAATCAGGTGGTCTTGTACTACCTGCTGAGAAGACATTTTTGTTCCCTGATTCTTGAAGTTACTGCTGTTTAGCGCCTCCTGGTAGTTCTCATGCTCTTCTGTACAAATAGGGAGCAGTGTTTTTAGTATGGACAAATAAATATTCTGCTCAGGTTTATGCTTGAGCTATCCAGTATGATTGCAGACTTGTGTTCAGGACTTCTGTACAGCAATTTGCTAGTGGAAGGAACATGTTTCTCATTTGATAATACACTTTTAATGTAGCTATTCTTGGCAAGAAAGAAGCTGATCAACTTTGGCACTGCTTGCTGTAGTTTTCTCGAGTCTTTAGGGGCCTCACTGAACCTCCTGAAGACCATGAATTTTTCATTTCTTTCATAGTACCAGAGAGCAGCACACTTGAATGCCTTGCCTTGCATAGGATGAAATCTGGAGAAGTTCAGTCTGTGAAAGGCTGGTTTGTGGGGATCATACCACATTGCTTGGTGTAGGGCAAGCTACTTTAGTTTTGGAGCTATATCTACCCTGTACTAGTGCATTTGTTTTCTTCCCATTCTTACCTGAGCTCAGCTTGACCATCATAACTGAATTAGCTGTCTTTGTCAAGCAATGTGGAATTAATTATGTGTCTCTGAAGACCTTCTTGTATACATGTGTTGAAGCTCAAGATAATCATCAGCTATAGCTCATTTCAAATGACCTTACTAATGTGGATCCTTGTTCTTCAAATTATTGTTAAATGTTCATTAAGTGAAATCTGTATGAAGTATTGAGTGTTATTTGTGCATGACATAGCTTTCTGAGGAACAGCATAGTCCTAACTTGTTCTGAAAGGGCAACGTGAGTCCTTAGTGTGTGTTCATGCCAAGGTCTTAAGTGTGTACCTTTGGCTAACACTAGGTATCTTACAAGTTTAAATTGTTTTGTGATACTAAAAGCAGGTTCCAAGGAACTTAGTGCGTAACCTTGATACAGTCTGCTGAAGTTGACCACTGTCTTTTCAGAAGATATCTCAAGTATAGCGTAATGATGCTGGACTGAACTTAAACTGTAAAATAGACCTTGTTTTATTTGGAGATACACTCAGACCATCGGGTCTTAGAACTACTCAGTGGCTCATTCAGTAGCATTACACAAGTATGGGGAATACATGCTTTTAAACTAACCCTTATTTTCATCTGCTGTAGGTTTTCTCGGGTTGTTTAGTATGACATTTGTTATTCTCCTGTTAACAGAGAGAGAGGAGAGTCAGGAAAATTTAAGTACATTTTTGTTGGACATTGAAGCCTTTTTGTTATGGTAGTACAGGCAATGAACTTGGTGTAACATATTGATGAGCTTAAGTTCTTTACCTCAAGTCTTTACCTTAGCGCATATATCCTGTATTCTTGTTTTTAATTCATCTTCAATGCTTAGGAAAAATTCTTGGTTTTTTATATACTTTCTTCTGTGCTTAGCATTGCTGTGTACATGAAATATGAAATTTAACTTTTCAGTCTAAAAAACATGAGATGGATAAGGAATATGGAAGTACTTTGAGAAGCAATGTGGGACAGGAAACATTTCACTGTCGTCTGCAAGATGGGGCTAAAATAGTGCCTTTATACCACTAAGCACATAACCTGCACAAATAAAGCAGTCTTCCTGTGCCACAGACATTTTTCTTCCTGTTAGTTACTTTTGAGATCAAAATCTATAGTTGTCTGTTTCAGGAGTTATCTGTAGATGTATCTTTAGAGTTATCTATAGATAATTTAGAGGTTAAAATGTACCTTTGTGCAGGGAAGACAACCTCAAGTTTCAAACTGACACACAAGCATGGCAGGAACACTTGCCATTAAATCAGTATGCAGTTAGCTGTGCTGAAACCTGTCTCTTTGCTAGGAGAAGTTAACCATGTAAAGACTGAGGCATGTAATGGTGTTACTGTAAATCTCGGTCACTGAAATTACAATTTTGTTTAGATTTCTTATCTCCTAGTCCTCATGTTTGTTTATACATTTAAGTATTCAAATCAGTATCAGACAAATATAATGCAAATATACAGGGCACTCTGTGTCACCCTACTTACTATGCCATGTTAGTGAAATCTTAACAGGATGTTTTGGCTGTCATGTTGCAGCTGCTTCTAGTGTTACTAGACTGAATAGGCAGCTCAGTTAGAATGCAGTTCTTGCTTATGTCAGTATTATACCCGTAAATTGGAGAATTCTATGGAAATTTGCAAGATGTTCCCTATTCTCTAAAGGTCTCAGTGTGCTACTTTTACAATATGGCTGGCCATAACAATTAGAATGGTATAACAGGAGAAATATATTCATGTGTTAAAATGTCTGGATTAATGATTTTCAAATGTTTGTTATATGTCTTGTTCTTAATTATATTTGTTATATCTAGCCATACCCAGAAGATCCAGCAGTGTACAAACCACTCTCCCAGGAAGAGCTGCAAAGGATAAAAAACGAAAAGAAACAGAAACAAAATGAGAGGAAACAGAAGATATCAGAGAATCGCAAACATTTGGCCAGTGTACGGGTTGTACAGAAGAACCTTGTCTTCGTGGTAGGGTTATCTCAGCGCCTAGCAGATCCAGAGGTGAGCACTTGACACTTGCAGATCTTGCTCTTAACTTACTGTCAGGAAACCACTGGAACATCCTTGTGCCTACCCTTGTCTGTCTGTAGTGGGTACTAAATGAAGCAGCTTTCAAAAGGTTCTGTGATACTGATGCTTTTCTTAAGAAAACTACTGAGCTTCCTACTCCAAAATAATTGTTTTTGAGAGTATGGATGCTTTATTTTTAAGGAAATTGTTCTTTGTTTTCATTAAAGAGCTTGATGTTGAGCTTAAAAGGAGTTTAACACTTTTAGTTACTCACTTTCCTGTGCTAGATCTGCTGGCACTACACAGCTGTGTCAGCGCAGCACTGCCTATTCTAAAATGGGAGCCAATTCAGACTATAAAGGACAAATATTTGTAGCACAAATCTGTAAGGACAGAAGAAAAAAGTCAACAGCTGAAGTATACCTAGGAAGGAGCACAAGAGTAATGTCACATGAAGAAAAAATTAGTAACAGAAGGACCCAGGAAAGAGTTGGCTTACTACTCTATTATTACAAAGAAGCTTTTCATTTGGGGAAATGTTTTTAACTGGCTTAAAAAACAGCATTTTTAATAATGCTTTATTCACTTCCATCATCCATCAGCTGCAGATGGCTAATGGAATTAGTGCTAATGAGTAAGAGTACCTTGAATTAGAATGTGGAAGGAATGTACTTACAAGATAAATAGATGTCTTCAAAAGTACTGTGCCAAGTTAAATTCACCTGATTGGACTAAGCTGTCTGGAGAAACCTCAGATATAAGTGACTGTTTCTGAGGACTTGCTGAGAGTGGGCCACATTTTGGTAGGCTGGAAAAGAACAAATGTAAAACACTGTTTTTAGTGGAGGGAAGTAGGATAGGAAGCAAAGAGAAAATCAGTTAAACTGATATGACCTAAAACACTACAATTTTGACAAGAATATAGCAGAAGGTTAACTGCAATAGCACAAAGCCAGGCCAGCATTGACAGTTGCTTGCCATTTGTTACTAAAAAATGTATTAAGTTGATTTGACCAGAGAGTGGATTTATAAAAGGAAATAATATACACAACTATTTTCTTAATCTCAGATTGTTTCACACTGGCTTTTTCACTTAATAAGTGGGAGGGTTGTATTAGGTTTTGTGGTGGTCTGTATTTTCACAGATATACCAAAGAATAACGGGTGTTTACTGAACACTGCATATAATACCCAGATATCTCTCTTTCAGGCTAGGTTTCTGTGAAATCAAGATAAGAGAAATTAAAAAAAAAAAAAAAAGGCTCAATATATTCAACCTGAGTTGAATATAACAGGCAAAGAACTTGTGTACAAATAAAGATTTGGAAGGGGAGACTGGCAGCTATTTAATGTTTCTGAAAATAGATTTGTGGATCGGGATCATAATGGAGTGTACAGGTGGATCCACTTCTGTTGACATGCTCTTGTGAAAATGTGACAGCCGTGCTGCCATACATTATCAGGTGTGCCATCTGTAAAGAACTTGAAGAAATCCTTCCCCCCTTAGGACTGCCAGTCTCCTCTGGAATGGTGCTAAAAGGTGGCATAGGGCCTTTCAGGAGCAATGTAAATCTGCTGAAGAACAGTCAGAAGAGACCAGTGAGAGTTTCTAGTTGAATGTACGATGTGCTTTGTACTTCTTCAGGACTTCAAGATAAAGCAGTATTAATCACGTTAAAGATGTTGATGCTTCCTGAAGAAGGGAAACAAGGTAGTTAGGTGAAGTTCTTGCATCAGTACAGTTTAACTGTATTATAAGATAAATCTGAAGATGTAGTTGGGGAAACAAATGGTCCTTTCTTCCTCTCAGCTTATGTAGGCTCAGTCTGAGTAGTCACTTCTTCCCATCACAGAGAAAGAAAAAGAAAGGCTTTTGGTAGCAGTTTCTCAGATATTGCCAATTCCATTGGCACACAGGTAACCATTATTCAACAAAGTTACTTAGTATGCTAAAGATGTTTCTGCTTTGCATAGGATCCTCAAATAGTTATTACTTAACTGATGCAGTGAAAGGCAGGACAGGATTTTTTTTTCCTTCTGGTGTGTAATATTCAGTCATGTTTCAGCACAATGTTTCTGCAACATCTTTTCTTGCCCCATATGAAGTGTCATAGTGTTTTCCTATACATAGCCTTAAGTTTTTTGAAAGATGTAGACTCTCTCAAGTTAGTTAATTGTACTCTGCTTCTCTTGGTGTGGAACAAGTGAATCAGAATTCAGCTTTTTTTCTTTTTCTGGCAGTTAATACATCTGAAAGTTTTAAGGTGGTTATTTTAAAATCGGAATTCGTGTGATTCTGAATTTTTCCTGTTTCATGTTGAATGGGATATATATTGCCAGAGCTGGGTTTGGGTAATTTGGACACCAAAAATAAAAATAAAACACCAGGTTGAATATCCTTCATTTAAATTCTTGAGTGCAGTGGCAAAGCACTTTGTCTTGCAAGTAACTGCATTTCTTACTGGAAAAGAAATCTACATCTGTTTGTCTTATTTGTAGGAAAGATGTGGGTTTCATTAAGTACACAGACAAATGATAAGAACAATCCCATACGAATTGCAGTTAACTTTCCAATATAC